GTCAATGATTTTCGAACCTCGTCGCTCTAAAGAAAATGTAGAATCTAATTCAAACACCGTGACTCTCTGAATCATCGCATTTTTATTAGAAAAAGTAAACGACTCCAGCGACACTTGAAACAACTCCAGTATCATATCAACATCGACCCTAGAAGAGGTCCAACATTGATTTAAAGAAATCTGGAACACCTCAGGAGAATACGTTGCGGCCAAGAGCGGTCCAGGAGGAGCTTAACTGCTTATTAAACGATACATGAATTTGTGAGTCCAGAGCAGCACAAAAGGGCACTGGGGAAATTGATATTTCCCACGGAGGCCATGTCCCACCCCTCAAGATGATAAGATCTTAGATCTCAGCAAGTCACAAGATAAGAATCTAAGCAATGGTAACACCAAGGGATCTTGCACGCCGCAGAGGAGGGCGAATTGTTGTCACTGGCCATGGGTGTATGTTTCTCCTCCCCCCAAAGGCTACCTCGCTTGTTAGTGGACATCGAACTTGACACCCCTCGTTTTAAGCTCTTGCGTGTTTCGTTCTGCTGCTCTTGTTGCGTCCCCAGTAATACCAGTGGCCGACTGCTACCTGATTGTTCCCAATATGTGCTTCCTCACTGATTTTTGCTCTGTTGCTTCTGGTGCCGTTTCCTGGCGTGCCTCCCGTGCTTTCCGCGCCAGGTCCCTTTTCTGGTTTCCATTATGTTGCTCGTGTAATGCTTCGTGCGTGCACCAAATTCTGTGGCTCCAGTTGGCTTTCCTTGGCTTCTCTCTTCGTTTCTTTTGTCATTGTTTCCTTGAATTTCATGTCTGACTGGGTTTCTGGCTCTTTTTTGGGGTTGCCTTCTTGCAGCGAGAGTGATCCTGCATTGCTTCCTGGTGTGCAGTTTCCCCTGAGGGCTTCATGTTGTTTCTGCGTTGCGTCCTAGCGCTCTATGCGTGGCTTGCTTCGGGAATTGACTGTGGTCACGGTCGATTAATGCCTCCTGCATGCCTTTTCGTGGGACTTGTCGGCTTTGCTTTTGTTTTCGTCCGTGTGCAACCTGTTTGCCCGACGCACTGTAGAGTAACGCAAACCAACGCTACTCAATGATATGTAATGTTGTAGCAAGCGATAGGATGTAATGCAAGTATACCAGCCTCGAGCCCAAATATTGTGATGGGGGCGGGCTCCTTGCACCCGGCCATGGGAGGAAGAGGATTCGATAGGGAGCAGCTAGAAAAAACGGAAGCAACGCCAACTCCCTGGGCGGCACCCGCTCAATCTGGCAGCACGAAGCAACAGCACGCGACTGCAGCTTTCTTGGGGGTAGTCACTCCAGCCTACAGGGGGAAGCAATGGGAAGCAAACAGATGCAACGGCAACTTCCGGGGCGGCACTCGTTCCACCCAGCCCTGCGAATCAACGGGAAGCAACGGAGATCAGCGAGGAGCAACGGGGAGCAACAGGAAGGAAAAGGAAGCAATGGGGGATTAACTCCAGCCATTTTCTTGGCACTCGCTCCACCCAGCAACCCGAAGCAACGGGACACACTGGGGGGCCATGGCAAGCAATGGGAAGCAACGCGAAGCAGCACGAAGCAACCTACAGTAGCGGCAATAGTAACTTGCTGGGCTGTACTCGCGCAACCCAGCAAGAGGAGGCAACGGGAAGCAACGACCAGTTTTCTTCTCACCATTCATTTCAGCAACTCTAACTTACAGAAAGTACGAACCCCATATGCATCGCGTGTTTGGGAAGTGCCAATCGAAGGCAACATGATGCGAGGTCTGTTTTCCAAGTCAATACACAATTACATACATTGTTGAGTAGTATCCTGTGGCGCATTGTAACAAAATACAAAGAAAAAAACCCTTAATTATGCCGGCGTCGCCCCAAATAAAACCTGTCCACGTGTACACTGTATGGGTCATTGGTCGCCCTTTCCGATTGTATGGTCCTTTCCAAGTATACGGGTCACCAGTAGTCCTTTGAAAGTGCATGGGTCACCGGTCGGCCTTTTCAAATGTCGTGGTCACTGGTCATACTTTCCAAGTGCATGGGTCAGCGTTCGGCCTTTCCAAATATATGAGTCGTTCGGCACTTGTGCATCCTGCAGGGAGGGCCCGGGAAGCAACGGGAAGCAATGTGTTTGGTAACCCTCGGGGTGGGCATTATCACTGCGACAGGCTCCAAAAACAGCATGCGCATCCACATAGGCTCGGGAAGCAATTGCAAGCAACACACGTGCACATGCACATGTTCTGGCGCACCTATGCATGTTGGGCGGGAGGAGGAGACCACTGGGACAAGCGCGGGAAGCAAGGGGAATCAGTGCACCAAGAACGGGCGCACTTATGCACGCTCAGATGGTTCGGGAAGCAGCGGGAAGCAATGTATCTAGTATCGTTTGGGTTGGAGGAGACCCCTGGGGAGCAACAGGAAGCTATGGACATGCGCATGCACATGTCTTGGCGCATCTATGCATGCTGGGAGGGCTCGGGAAGCAACGGGAAGCAATGGATTTGGTAACTTCTGGGCCGAACCCTTTGGGACATGTTCGGGAAGCATTGGGAGGCAATGCACATGCACATGCACATGTTCTGGCGCACCTATGCATGTTGGGAGGGCTCAGGAAGCAGCTGGAGAAGCAATGGATTTGGTAACTTTCGGCTGCAGGACGCCACTGAGACATATACACATGCACATGCACATGTTCTGGCACACTTTTGCATGCTGGGAAGGCTCGGGAAAGCAATGGATGTGGTAACTTTTGCGCAGCAGGATACCACTGGGACAGGCTTGGGCAGCAACAAGAACCAACCTTGGGAAGCAACTCGGGAAGGGACAGGGAGGAGCTTGGGAAGCAACGCGGGAAGCAACAAAGGAGATAACTTTTGGGCTGCAGGACACTTTACTAATTTGAAAAAGTATTGGTAAGAACCCATTTAAGCTACGCAAATTTTGGGAACAAAGATAACCTCATGCATTGAATTGAAGTATAAAGCAATATGTTGCAAAACCGTGCATTGCAATGAAAGTAATTCAATCGCTTCGCGCAGCCCACCGGGCCAGAGCGATACACCCCAAGGGATGCAGGGAACAATGAATGCGCGGATTATCGAAAATTGCCGAACAAAATTAGAACCGATCGCAGAATAAATTAAACAATTATCTTAAATCTATTCCCAGACCATACCTAAATCGATCCAAACAGTTCCCAAAACGACGCCGAGAGGGACAATACATCGAAACGCCATCTTCAGGACCACTTGGGAGCTCCCAGGGAACCGTTTCCATCGCTATGGCGGGCGAGCTGGTCGCCAACTTGGAGACCCAAATCGACCCAAAACGGCAAACAAGCAACATAAGGAATCGTTGATCTCTTGATCGCTCCTTTTATCTGAGAAACATTCGTAAATTGTTCCCCAAACCATCCCAAAATCAACCCCAAGAGGCTCGTAAATCGCTGCCATGAGGGAGCCGAAGTAAGAAAGGGGAAACGTGTAAAATCAAACAACCCTCCATCGTTTTAGCTAGATTTGTGGTTGGCGCAGGGGTTGAACATCTAAGATAAGTATGTAAAAAGTGGTCTCGAAAACGTTGTCAAAATCAAGTGCGATTTTGAAGTATATTTTTGATGATTTTTGCAGATTGTGGTGCGATCTTGGGATCCAAGATCGATTCAACATCGCAAAGGCTCGGCATCGAAAAACAGAGCTATTTCGACGCGGAGTTGGAAGATCGTCCAACCCCGATCTGGCATAGCAGGCTGCTCTCGGGTTGGCCCCTGGGCGCCTCGATAATTCGCGCCCGATCTCATTCAAAAACCATATGGCTATTTCTCGTTTGTTTGGGAGTCACTAGGGGGCTAGAGTTGGGCCCAAAAAATAGAACTACTAAATGGAAATTAATAGTAATTCAGTAGCAAACCCCATTTAGAAACTCTATTTTTGAGTCCTAAACTAGGAAACTGAAGAATTGAGAAAGGGCCATATACTTATTGACATGATGTCGAGGATCTGACACGCCTTGGGCCGATGGCCCGGAGAATTATCACTCAAAACGATATATTCAGGCATTGTAGTGGGTGTTCTTCGGAGGGCAGTACTTTTTAGTGCAAGGTTTGTCCATGTACGAACGGAATTACTTTGTTATGTGTGGTCTGTGCTGGCTTCTTTGTCTATCTTTTGATTGCTCCCCTGGCAGTTCTTGCACTTGAGGGCTTCCGTTTTTTTCGAAGCAGATTTCATGAAAGCTGAAAGCCAAGATATCCCGTCGTCAGAGGTAGGCCCGCATATGCCCACGTAGTCCTTATACCATGATCTCCAGGAATCTGTCGTCAGAGGCAGGCCCATGTAGGCCCGAGTAGTCCCAATGCCATGAAATCCAGGATTCCCCGATGTCAGGTTGGTTCCAGTAGGCTTGAGTAATCCCAATACCATGAACGCCAGGATTTCCTGTCGTCTGAGGTAGGCCCAAGTTGGCTCGAGCACTCCCATCATTCGGAAATTCAGGATTTCCCATAGTCAGAGGCTGGCCTAAGAAGACTCGAGTAGTCCCATTGATAAGAATTCCATGATTTCCCGTTGCCAAAAGTAGTCCCAAGTAGGCCGAACTAGTCCCAATACCATGAAACCCAGGCTTTCTCGTTGTCAGAGGTAGGTCCCAGCAGGCCCGAGTAATCTCCGAGGTGCTTGAGTAGTCCCAACACAATGTTGCATTCTGCTCCGAACAAAACAAACACCTCAGGGGCGTAAGCTGCATCCCGCTCCAGATGACATCAGAGAGCGTCTAGAAATAATTACATTGTTTGGGATCCAAGTGCAGGTATCACTCCCCGTTTGATTCCACTCGCATTTAGCGATGTCATGCCCAAACCCTTTGTTTTAGTTTGGATTGCACATTGCTTGCCTCTGCAGTTGTGATCAGAATCATTTACTTAGTCGAAAAACGATTAAAGGCAGCTGATCATCTACAAACATATATATATAGAGAAATATTGATGATTGAATGTTGTGGTCAGTCTGTGCGATGTGCCTGTGGTATCGAAAAGCATACATGCAATATTGATAATAGACGCAGGCTTTGCAGAGTGTTGTAGCTCTGCCTTCCGTAGGCGATGGGACTCCCTTCGCATGTTTTCCCGTTGCCTCGGCTGTATTGCTATGAATTCATGATTCGGCGGCACAGTCATTTCAATGGTTGCGTTCGTAAGAAAAGGCCCGCTGCTCACTCAGTACATTGTGCCCGAAGTGTATGCCAGTTTGCACAGTGCACATTATGGGAAGATCATGGGACATTCTTATTGAAGCATAGTGCTCGGATGTGTAGTCTTCATCGAAGACGCCTTCGGCGACACACCGCCGCCCCCTCACTCACTTGGATTTTGGTATGGACTTGGGGAGTGCTCTGCTAGAGGTGTGAGCGTGAAAGGAGTCATGTTGGAGAGGTAAGCCCGAATTTGGTTTGAGTTTGTGGCTGTCGATGTTCTCCTTAGACCAGGTCAGCTATCAGTGATGGTGCCTTCGTGCTTGATAGGCCATGATGTGATAATCCTATCGTCACGGTTTGGCCGCCGTTGTTCTGAACACAATCTTATAGTTGTTTGAATCGTATAAACCGTTGCGTTCGGAATCGTTTTCTTCATTGAACCAATATGCGGAACAGGTTTCCGAACAACTTTTGCATAACACTTTTGTTCGCATCACTGTCCGAACTTAATCTTCTATAGCCTCTGAGTCATTCTTTTTTTAACAACAATTTCGGCAGAGCTCCTCCCTACCTCGGAATTCCTATCATATTGTAATCGCTTCGCGAGTCCCGCCAGCCTAGGTGTTTGGTTCATGCTTGCCGAGCGGATGGTTGACAAGCTTACCTAGTCGATGATTGACGGGCTTGCTGTGCTTAAAGATTGGTCCCAAACCGGGTGTCGGAAGTGCTGTTGAGGCGATGTTTCGTTTATTTTGGGAAGCATTGTGGGTTTAGTTTGGGGTCATTCTTCGTTTCAAAATCAGAATATTTTTCGGATCAGCATTTCGGATTAAATGTTCGGCGATGTTGACCGATGTTGGATCTCTTTTTGAAGTTTTTCCATAATCGAAAACAGGGTCGATACAAAAAGGCCGATCTTCGAAACATTTTGTTTTCCCACTCCGTTTTCATAGTTTCCAAGGCTTGGAAAGTCCAAGTCTAACCAACATTCGATGGAAAATTGATCTTGGATCTTGGATCGATTTTTGGATTGATTTTAGATCGATGTTGGGTTCGATTTTGGGGTTATTTTGATTCCAAGTGTCGATCAAACAGTCAATTTCGAAACTGCATCGATTTTTGGATGCGTTCTGGGAGGGCTCTGGGGCTCTGGGGCGGCCTGTGCTGATTTGGGTGCGCTCGAGTTGGCGCAATCCGGGATTTGGAGTGCCCCAGGGGGAGGGGAGGGTGGGGGGAAAATAACATGAGCGAAGTTTCTGTGCCTGTGCCACATGTCCCGAGTTGTTGTGCCACGTGGCATGTGCCAAGTTGATGTGCTGCCGAGCGGCCTCGCACCTTCTAAACGCCTTTCCCAGGTGACCTGGGCTCGCGGATTTTGCCTGCCCGTATGTGGTGTGGCCAAGGTGGCTTCGAGCAGGCCACGATTGCTGAGATAGGATTGAATGAAATATGATTCAGCGGAGACTAAGGGTGCACTGGCACTTGCACCTGACAACTTGACACCTCTAAGTGGTCTTCCCAGCGATCTCTAGTGTACTTCGCTCAGACGTTGTGCGGGGGCGGCAGATGGAACACGCAATACGAGATCTCCCACACATCCAAGCTGGGAGGATTCAACGTGACATGGTCTTTCCTGCAACAGGTCGGTTGATAGGGTCCTCTGTATTGCTTCTAGGTAGTAAAAAGGGGTGGGACTGCGGTCTCCCATTTTCTCCCGTGGTCTCCCGGAGGCTTGTCTCTAGGGCCCCGCTATCGGAAATTGCTCATCCAGAGCAGGGCTTCCCACGACGTATAGAGCGTGGTCTCCCAGCGGCTCGCGTGCAGGGTTCCGCGATCTGAAATCGATGTCTTCGAGTCAAGCAGTGTGTGGTCCCCCCAACGCGTGGTTTCCTAGAGGCTCGTGGATTTGGAGTATGGTCCTTCCTTCCTCCTGTCAGTTAATGTCCTTTCGTTGCAGCGTTGTTGAAATCAATCTTTCTGAATCCAATGGGGCCAGGGGGTGACAATATTACCATAAATGATTTCCAGATAGCCACATGGACACGCCAGCGGTTGTCAGAGATGTTAACAGCACTTGTCAAGCACATAATAAAACCAGTGCTTGCTAATTGGTCTGTAGGATCTGACACGCCGTGGGCTTCTGGCCTGGTGTGTATTTCTGTTTCGTATGAAGATCACGTCCTCGGAAATATCGGTAGAGTTTGGGTGATACGACTTTAAGCAAATGTTCCGGCATAATAGCAGCATCTGTTTTCAGCAGCCCCAAGTCGCAACATTACGGTATCATCAGAGGATTATTCAGCACAAGCGAGCTAAAACGATTGAGTAAATTGTACTTTCAGTATTTTGTTACTCACGCATGTCGTACTTCTGCGGCACACGCTTTCTTCAAGTTACATTCACTGTTGATTTCTTGTGCTTGCAATGTCCCAAAGACAGTCAGTGCGTGCACATGTTCGTGTGGGAGTTTGCTTGTGCATCTATGTGCGCACGCGCGTTTGTATGGATGCATGTGTGTGCGTGTGCGTATGTATGCAAATGTGTGTGTACGAGCTTGTATGCAAAATGGTGTAAGAGTGCAATGGTGTGTGTGTGTGTGCGCGTGCACATGCGTGTGTGCACGTGTGTGCGTGTGTGTGTGTGTGTGCGTGTGCTGGCAAGCGTGTTTATTCATGTCGCTCTGGAGGCCCCAGTTGCTTACAGTTGCACTGCCTTGCAAACTTGGAGGAGGGGGGACGATGGTGAGAAGGAAACGGGATATAGGATGAGTGGGAGTTGGTGAGGGCCAACTGGAAACCAGGTGAGTTCGCTCACTACATCAACATATATATATATATATATATGAGCATGTCTGTCCATCCGTAATTCTTCGCACATGAAGCTACTATTTGAATCATCCGTATTTGTTGGATAACCCGATCAGTTCAGCAAGCCTCCTCTGGATCCTTCCAGTGGTGGCTGATTCGATCTGTCATCTGATTGCTCTTTCGATTTGCCTTATGATCGATGGGTCTCGTTTCTGACCAGTTGCCAGGGCACGTAATTGGATCAATCACTTCACCGACTGTTCCAGGGATTGTTCTCTGGATAATTCAGTGGATTACTTAGCTCATCCACACAGTCTTCTTACTTCGGGCAGATCTGTTCTTTTTATGCGTCTCTTGGAATATGTTCTGGTTTACTGGCCAAGGTCGTATAGTTTTCATCAACCGGTCGATATTTTGATCATTTATTGGGTCTCTCGTTCGATCGAATAAGTTCTACCATTCAGTGGAACCTTCGGTCGATTTTTGTGCATCCGTCCTCATATCATTCTCTGGTTTGACGGGCTGCGGACGAGCGTGAGCAGCTCTTAAAGTTCGTTCATACGCTGTTTCTTAGGTGTCTGGTCGTCGGCTAGGCAGGGCTGGTTGATTCGCTCTACACCCCCCCCATGCTAAGAGGATTTTGTATTGGAGGCCGAGGGGCTTTGGGACTTTCTATGCCTGGTGCTGTGGGAATGTCCAAATCAGACCCGCGATTGCTTTCTTAAATCAAGGTCGTCTGCGTTGCTTTTGATCCATGGTCACCAGTATGCTCGGAGTTCGTATTCATAGTTTTTCTTCTCTCCTGGCTTAGAGGCTCATTTCAGCGACGGGAATTCTTAAGACATCCAGGACGGGTGCGTTTAACCATGTCCGTGGTTTTCGGGCACGCTTCCTGGTTTTGCTTTCAATTTTTAGAGTAACTTGCACTTCGCGTTAATGTTAATAAAGTACCCCTCCCCCTCAGCCCCCCCCCAGGAGTGAGGGGTGCGCATTTTTAAAGGGTTCTCTCTCAGTTTTGCTAAAGTTTCTGGGTGCCGAAGACATACTTTATTACCAGGGGGCTTACTTTACTATCAGGGTTCTTTCATTTTTATCAGGGTGAGCGACGCCACTGCTGATCACGTACTTGATCAACAGGCGGTGTTTATTAACTCAAGATACTGGTTATGTTTCCAGGTTGTGCTTCCATGTGTAACGCTTGCTTCCTTCCATGTTTTGGCCTTTATGTTTTGTGTTTCCAGATTTTACGGCCTGCTTCCGTGTTTGGGTTACAGGTTTGACGATCAGTTTCAGGTTTTGTCTTCCATGTTTTGCTTCCAAGTTTTGCTTCAGGTTTTGTTTTCAAATGCTTACATTTCTTTCCAGGTTTTGCTTCCGTTTTTTCTGCCAGGTTTAGCTTCCAGGTTTCGCTTCCAGGTTCTGCTCCCGGGTTTTGTTTCCAGGTGTTGCTTACATCTCCGTCCAGCTAGGTTTTTCTCATATCTCCTTCCAGAGGTTGCTTCCAAGTGTTGCTTACATCTGCTTCCAGGTGCTTCCAGGTTTTGCTTCCAGATTTGCTTCCAGGCTTTGCTTCCAGGCTTTGCTCCCAGGCTTTGCTTCCAGGCTTTGCTTCCAAGCGTTACCTCCAGGTTTTGCTGAAGCCTGCCTACAGGTTTTATGCTTGCTTCCCATTCGAAATGCTGCATTCTGGATTATAGATGGTTGATGCTGGCTGCTCGTCGCTGGACTTTTGATGCTGGATTGCGTGACGCTGTGCTGGTTGTCGTGATGCTGGCTGGATGTGGATGAGCGTGCAAACGAGTCGGCGGGCAAGCGTGTTCAGTGCGAAAAGTATAGATTACTGATCATCCAGGTGCATCGTTTTGACATCATTTTGGGGGCCATTTCCATTCACAAATCAGTGAACGCTCAAATAAAACATCGATGCGAACATAAACGTAGTTTGATTAGTTTCGAGATGCACGCATCGAAAAAACAAGTTTTCTGAATGGGCTGAATTAGTCGCTTTGATTGCTGTTTAAAGCCGCTGAGCTCCGTTTAACGCGATAACGCGGTTGATCTCTTTTCAACGCCGTTGAGGTAGTCGCGGGACAGGGCGGGGACCGGAGGGGGGGATTAAGGTCAGGTGCTGGGTGTGGTAGGGGCGTCCTATCGTAGGAGTGTGTGTCCGGGTGTGTCTGGGTGTGTCCGGGGTGTGTTCGGCCCTGGATTTGAAGCCTCTGTGGTCCGTGCGGTGTCCAAGAGCTCCTCACAGAATTCTTCGCAGACTTCTTCGCA